CAATCCAACCAAAAAGAAAAAAAAAACTCAACATTTGGCTATGGAGGGCACTTCACATGTGAACCAAATGGTGTTATAACATTTTCCTTCAGATTAAACTAGTCACTAAATCCCATTAGAAAGAATACAAGAGCAATTATCGGAGACATCCCAAAATACCACGCACTCGGTTAGAACATCGTGTCACGAAATGCTCTTCTACGCGGCTTTCTTTTACATTGCAAACATCACTTTACATCTCTACAGTGCAATGTTGAAACAGTCTCCAAGTTTTGTAAAGCAGATTGAGGTGCATTCTACAAAAATATGAACTTACAGTACATAACACTGAATAATTTTAATCTGTACATTTCTTCCCCCCCATAGTAGGTGACACAAGTAAGTTTGTACAAGTTAGGGGGAAAAATCTGGTTGTTTACATCTTGATTAATATAGTCAACAGTCAACCAGAAGTTGGTGGGGTGGGTATAGTTTGAGAACGTATAAATACAGTGTAATGTCGTGGTTAACAATATTCAGCTTTTAACAGTGATACAAAATAAATCTTTTGACTGAAAAGATCTAGCTGAGAATGTTCTGCCAAACAGTCGACTAACTGATCCAAAGGTTAAGGCTGACATGACTCAGCAACCTGCAGCACAACTGAAGACATTGGTGCAGTTCAGATCTCTTCAAATGCATAGCGTCAGTGTTACATGCATATTAATTATATTCCTTCAATTAGTTAATCCTCTAGACAGTTTTCTCTTTTGTTTTGCATGCATCCCGTTCCATTTTCATTAAGGGCATCTCTTCCTTGATCAACCATGTGCTTTGCTTTTCAATTTGCTTTTGTAATTTAATTTTTTTTATTTTTGTATGTTTTGTCTGTTAAGCTGCCAATACCTCCAACACTTAGAAAATGAACTATAATGCCATCTTAACAGAAGAGAATCATAGCTATATGGACAATGCAAAATGAAATGAAACAAGTGTCAGAAACAGTTTATAAAAATGGCACATTTATTGCTACAGAACGGTCATGTACATGACTTCATCGAATAACTACAGATGGAAACAGGTAATGGCCTAGACCAAGCTGGGTTTGTTTTTGTCTTGAAGGAACTCCAGCACACAACCTGTTTGGACACTTCTACAAATCAGAAATACACCAAAAACATGAAAAAATCGAGGCACTCAGCCACACATTGAAAACAAGGTGTAACTGTTTATCTTTTTTTGAAATGTTTTCCCTTTTTTTCTTTTTTTAACAATTTTTTTTTAGTTTTTAATGCTGCAGCTATGTGTACAGTCGCAAAAAATTTCCCCGCTGCGACCTACAACTAAAAAACAAAAACAAAAACAAAACAAACAAAAAAGCTACCATACAGTTTCATCTTGGTAACACATGGTAAAATAACATCTTTTAAATAGTAAAATAAAGTAACAAACTTTTACTCATAATGATTCCAAAAATCTACAAAGAAGAAATATTCAGAATCTGACAATTTTTTGTAATATTCATGGTATAAAAGGATTGCTCCTGCGAAAAATAAGCCAAATATATTTTTTATTTTTAAATTTAGGGTTTTTTTTCCTACTAGGGTGTACTACAGTCTATTTTATAGCAAAAAGAGCACTAGACAAACAAAGCTTTATAACAAAAAGCCAGGCACTGATACATGGTAAATCTCTGCTTTTTTTTTTTCTTATCTTCACTTAATTGCATCACAAGTAACAAGAATGAAAAAGGCCACAGTTCATATATTTTCACCATTACATATGTCTATAATACTTGAAATGAGTATGGCAAAACCAGCACTGCACAAAGATGAGTCCACTTCAAGTCCCATGAGAAAGAGCGTGTCTCTAAAGAAAAACAAACAAAACCAAAGCAAAATAAAAAGACAGGCCCAAAAGGCCTTGGTGCCCCATTGTGTTGGAATTCATCATATTCCATCTTGACTTTTTTGCTTCCAGTCAGCCAGCAGACTAAATTTTTGTGCTCGTTTATGCTGAAATGGTTTCGTTCCTGACTCAAGTTCACTTTTGGACACAGATCATATTCTACCTGTTGGATGCAAAGACGAAAATCCTCTTAACCCCCAGTCTCAGTTCAACTCCCTCCCCACTCCCCAACCCCTCAACAAAATAAAGATTATGAATTTAAAAAATTCAAGGAATAGGAAAAAGTGAAGAACAAAAAAGGAATCGGAAGACTGAATCAGAACCAGTTGCACCACTGGGTGGACTGACAGTTGTATAAACATTAGTGTTCCTTGCAGCTACACAGAAGACAAATGGTAAAAATTTCTAGATGAACAGATCCCTATTCTGCATATTCATAAATTACTTGAATGTGGAGGTGGATCAACTATTCCATGTTGCTTTCAAAGTCCAAGTTTCTTATACCGATCCCCAGCCTAAGTATCATCATCTATATATGTAGTATAGCATGGACCCTTGTGAAACTTCTGTATAGCACTTCAATCCTGTCTTCTGCTAAATTTAATTCAAAAATCCAGTGCAGGATACCAATATCTTACCTGGGTTTGAAAATAACAAAACGACAAAAAACACACTAAAAGGCCACATTCCCTTTCTTCTTCTTCTTCTTCTTCTTCTTCTTCTCTTTTTTAAACTGGGGATACAACCCAATTAATACAGATAGGCGCAGATTATGTTTCCCCACCAAGCAAAAAAGCAGTGAGCAGATTCTGGTGGCCATTAGGAAGTTTTTCGCTTATGTCCAAAGGGATTTCAACAATAGAGGTATTACATTACTGAGTAATGAATACATCAAAGCTGGTGAACAAGAAATTGCAGCTTTTACTCTGTTTGAGTGAGAACAAAATATAAAGCACCAATTTAAAAAATAATCAAATGACTACAATTTCATTTTTTGCTTTGTTTACAGGTTTGAAAACTTTAATTCAGCTCTATTAAGCACCTTTCTGATAACATGTATCAAAAGTGCCATTCTTAAAATGTACATCAATGCAGGGAGTGTTTCCAGTTCCCTAAAGAGTAAACACCATACTTTCTTCTGTACACTTATCCTGAATGTGATCAGAGTATACCTGCTTCCTATATAATATTGTTCCTAGGGATACCCGCCTTGGTAGACAATACAAGATGAGTGCAGAATGTACCACTAAAAGGAAATCTTTAACATACTGAGGGAAGAAGTACACATGGTTTCCATTATTCAGGGAGGAGGGGAGAGTATACATTATTGTCTTTCATGCCCTTCTTTGAGCCCCTTTGTTCATACATTTCACAGGAAACCCCCCAAATAACTTTTCATGAAGTTTGATTTCTGCTCTTCTCCTAAGGTTTTAATCCACCTCCACATTTTAGGAACTTATTAACAAATCAAATTATTTTAGTTTTATCGCTACTGAACATATTTACAGTTTTCAACACACACACACACACACACACACACAGCTAATCAAAATGTTCATGGGTTTGTAAAAGATGACCACGTGGTAACTATCTTATTTGTTCTTACATTTTCAGAAATGAACATAAAATTCAGATTCTTGTAGCTCACTATTTCATTTAAATGAGACTTCTTTTAAACCACACAGTTTAGAAAAACGAAAACTGATACAACGTATTAAAACACATAATAACAAGAGCCTACATGTAAAAATATAACTTTTACATACACAATTTCAAAATAATGATACGTTTGCCATTTGTTGCATAAAATTTACAAATGTATTTCATTACTATATAACTGGCAAAACAGGAGAACAGATGGAACATTTAGACCATTTTGATGGATTTATGGCATTTACTCAGTGCTGATAGGTGGAAAAACTACTTGAATAGGGATTGCTTTTTCTTAATACATGCCAAGATTGTGTGGCTGTAAAAATAGAAACAAGTTAGAGACAAAAGGATGCTGACAAATACTTAACTAGGAGCACTATTTGTTTACTGCACTATACACCAAAGTCAATCATTATAAAGATTTATGATGGAAACTGGTTCAATTGTGCCCAGACGTCAAAGCTAGCTATCTGATGAGTTGCTGTGCCATAGCTTGATCTATGTTTCTATCAAATATGGTAAGTATCAACTTCATTCATACTGGCCAGAGAAATACTGCACTACCCCTCCTCAAAAAAGTGCAACTTAATGCTTTAGGACTTATAAGGCTTGTTATAATGCTGCATGATGACTGAATATTGGCATTTTTCAGATGAAGGAGGAGGCAGGTTAAGTCATCTACTTTTTAGTAAACCCATTTTGAAAAAAAAATTAAGAAAGCAACAAAATCAATCAGCTCTGTCACACTACTTGCAATTTTCTCATTTGACAGTTTTTGAACTTCATTTGTTTTTTGTTTTTTGTTTTTTTCCAAAAATCTGACCATGTATTCAGAAACGCCTCACTGCACACTACTTCGGCTACACAGGTAGGTAACACTTTAATCGTTTTGTTAAATCACAGCCACTTTGATTATGTTATGTTTCCGATGATATAAACATTGGAAGGCACAGTGGTAACATTGTAGCATTCTAACCTTGTACCTCTGAAAATCCCAGAATAGGGTCACAAATGCAACATTACAAGTCAGACAAACTCTTGTTGCCGTGTCTTGGTAATGCTGCTTGTAATATCTACACATGATGTGACTTTTAAGTCCTGTGTTCCCAAAAGACTGGAGAAACAATTTTCTACTTATTTATGAATGAGAAGCAACTTCAGGGTCAGCATTTCATCCTGCACTGCCCCTCCGGAAGCAGAGTTGGCACTACAGGTTATGATAACAAACCAGGGAGGGGGACAGAAATAAGACCAAAAAAAAAAAAATCCCAAAAAACAACAGAAACAAAAAACAAGACCGAAAAGAGAGAAGAAAAAAAAAAGAAAAAATTCATATTTACAGTAAAATCTTTCTTTTAAA